GGTAGGGGGTGAGCTCCACGCAGCAGCAGACCGGACGCTTACCCGCAGCCAGGTTCCGGCAGGCCTTGCGGTACCTCTCCACGAGGGGCGGCAGGTCCCAGGACTGCACTTCAGCCAATACCTGAGACAACGAGGGCGGGAAGGTCAGCTGGCCCGGAAGATGAAGGAACAGCCCCCCACCCCGTGCCGGATTCCCCTTGCAAGTCCCTTCGGGCCTCCTTCTCCCCTTCCAGAAGGGCCTTCTGGTCAGAAGCGCAGAGCCTCTGCCTGCTGCCACATCTCACAGCTTATCCCGAGGCTCTCCCGCTGTTCCCATCCCTCTGCCAGCAGTTTCCGTTGGGAGTGAGCAAAAACCACTTTCGATCTCCCTTCCCCAAATTCGCACCCTGCGGTCACAGTGCGTCTCTCCAAGCTACCCGTCTGCCCTGGCTGAACATTTTGGGAACTAACGTTCAGTGCTCCAGAACGTTCCACAGGCTGGGAAGGCTGCTCGAACAATTCCCGTCGCCAAGGGAAGAGAGGAAAAGCACCGCCAGGGGAACCCCAGACCTCTGCAGAGCGCAGGAACGGTGCGCTCAGCCCCGGAGGCCTTGAGCTAGGATTCCTCTGGGCTCTGGAAAGCTTCTGGCTGAAGCCCCCAACCATTTTCCGAGAGAGGGAGAAACCTTGTTCATAAGAAGCCCATAATCCAGGCCACAAGGACAAGCAATCCCAGCGCCCCAGGGAGGTGCGGGAGAAAAAAGGTGCTTTGGGGCAGGGATGGCCACACCTGCTGGCGCCACCTTAAAAAGAAGCCGCATCTTTTCCCAGACTTGCGTGGCCCCAGGAAAACACAGGTTTGAGCTGAGGAGGTGCCAACCAGGTGCTTCAGCGTGGGCATGCTGACCGCTGCGAGTGTGCATTGGCACCCACCCCAAAGCACCTTTTCAGCTTCAGATCTGAGGTGCTGCCTTCCTTACGATACAGGAGAGACTCCCCGGTGCAGGGCCAGAGATGCTGACAAGGGAAGAGCCCCATTTTTTGCCCACTCGGATGTGGCTTCCTCCCTCCCAAGTACTGTAGTTGCCCCAGCCACACCCGCATCCCCGAAGAAACCCTGCCCATGTTCAGTCCCCGCCCCCCCCGCAGCAGCCACTCACCTCCTCGTTGCTCTGCAGGACGTCCACCACGTTGTCTTGAGGAGCCAGGAGAGCGCCCTCCTTCTGCAGGGTCAGGCGAGGCAAGAGCCCGCGGGTCTGATAGTAGCGCTGGGAAGCTTGCTCTGCCAGCCACGAGACCGGACGGGTCTCGCCGTCACTGCAAGGGAAAGGAGGGCGCTGGCAGCCACAGGCTCTCCACCTTCCCCTTTCCCCCTGTTGGAGGAAGCAGCCCCAGCCGCTTCTCCTCTGGGGTCCGCGTAACGGCTTCCTAGCTCCTGCCCCAGATGATATTCAGCAATGCCAAGAGAAAGTGAGGGACCCTGCAGCCCTCCTTCCTGGGGAATCTCGGATAGCTCCCCACATTCAAGACTCATAAATGCAAAATACAGGTTGTCCTCATTTAGCAACCACAACTCCATTGTTAAGCAAAGCAGTCGCTAAGTGAAACCACAACCATGCTTGTGATTTTATTTCAGCTTTCCTTTGCTTTACAGACCTGTGAATGTCATAAATGCAAGGGTTGGTCGCAAAATTACTTTTTCATCACCGTCATGACTGCAAATGGTTGCTAAATGAGGCAGTTGCTAAATGAGGACTACCTATACAACTAAAATCTTATTCTGTCCTTGTGAAAATAACGTTCCTGAAGGCCAGATATTCTGAGCCAGATCGCCAAACTGGACTGTGCTGCATAGCTATCAACAGCAGAGCAAAACGGGTTTACTGCAAAACGTTCAGGGCAATAGTGGCTAATAATTGCATTTATGATGCTAAAGTATGTGATAGCGAATAGGAAATATTTGACTAAAGCAGAATTCCGAGCAGTTCTTGGCAAAAGAGTCCAGATACTGATGTTCAAAGGAAGGAAGTCTAGTTGCAAGTTAGCCCACCTAACTCACTCCCTGCCAGGTGTGCTGGACTACACTTCCCATAATTCTCATCTAGCACGCCTCCCACGACATCAAGGTGAGGAAAAAGGTCCTGTTTATGAAACCAAGAAAGAATGAGGAATATAGGAAGGCTGATGAGGGAGGCAACTATATATAACCTGGAGCTTCAAGAGATGCCTTCTGCCTTATCAACATTTGCAGGCTCTCAAGACTGTGGGATGTCACAAATCCGTACCCAGAGACTCAGAGTGGAAAAAGGCTGCCCTCATTCTGGCTTCTTTTCTCCTTTGGGACAACCAGGAAGAATTTGGAGGAAAAAAAGTAAAGAAACTAAAAAACCCTGGGAACGAGTTTTCCATGTTTGTCTTTCTTACAGTATTTTAGCATTATTATTTTTTTTAAAAGCACATCAATGCAGCTGCTATCACATCCCCCTTCAAAGATGCATTATTCTCTTTTACTTGGAGATTCAGGCACAAGCCCAAATGCAAAAAAGTCAGGAGAGCAGCCACAACGGTGCGCCTGAAGCTCTGCCTGTTTTCTATGGGTGTCTTGCACCAACTTCTTTGACCCCACCCGCAGACAGTACTTGAGGCTGGGGACAAGTAAGCAGCAGCAGCGGGCTTTACGGACTTGAGGCGCTGGTGGGAGGCCAGCGGGAAGGCGGGGCGGGACGGGGCGGACTTCAGACTGACCCAGCACGGGCAGTCGCGCAGTCAGGGAGGAAGCTACGAGCCCCGCGGCCAGCCAGACCCCTCTTACCTTTGTGGCACGGGAATAAGGAAGACGCTGTCCTGCACCCGGACACGCACCCGGACAGGCGGCGAGGGCAGCTGCCGAGAGAGGGGAGAGGGAGGCTGAGGAACCCGCTCAGGGACCTGCCCTGCTCAGGACAGCTGGCTCAGCCCTGAAAACTCACCTGCGTTACCCCTGACGGTGGGCCTTCTTCATCCCCCATCGGACTGCTGGCAGCTGCTTCCAGAGGGCTGTGGGCCTCAGCAGCAGGCTCTGGTCTTTGTGCCATGCCAGCCCCTCGGCTCCTCCCCAGCAGGGTCCGGTCTACGATCTGGGTGAGGCGACTCTGTCGGACGCGTCTCCTCCTCTTCCTGGTGGCCTCCCCTTCGTTCCTGGGCACCGGGCATGGCCCCAACTCAGAGCCCCAGGCTTCTGCTGGGCTCCGGCGGCTCCTTTTGCGGGAGCCCGCGCTCGGCCCCAGGTCGTCCTCCAGCCAGTTGTCCCCCACGTACTCCTGCAAGGGGATCAGGGCTGGCCTGGAGGGGGCCTTGTTGCGCTCTGGGCTCAGAGGGAGGTGGAAGTGGGCACTACCCACCCCAAGCACGGCGACCTGATATTCTGCAGGGGCAGCTAGCCCTGCCTCCCCCGCCAGCGCCTGGTCAAGCAGCCGCTGCCTCTTCTTGACCGGCCGTAGCGGAGCCATGCAGTCCTCCTCTGCTTCCCGATGGCTGTGCCCAGTGCCGTGGGGTTCTAGAGCTGAGCCCGGAGGACAGGGTGCCTGGTGCTCTGAGAGCTCTGCGTCAAAGAGCTGGCTGGCCGGCTCTCCTCGGGGGGGCTGGGGCCTGGAGCCTGCAAGGGGCTCAAGAGCAGAAGAGCCCTGAGTTGGCTCAGGCCCATGGGCCCCCAGTCCGGCCTTCCGGCCCCCCAGCTGCCTGGCAGACGCCGCTGGGAAGCTCTGGCGGCAATGGCATTCTTCCACTGCTGCTCCTCAGCAGCTCCTCATTTGGGGGGCTCCCTATCTTTTGGGGGGAGCAAGGTCGTGAAAACTAGGAGCCGTGCTCGCGTGTTCATGTTGTCTTCCCCTTGCATTGCTAGAACAAATCGAGCCGGAGGCTCCTCGACCCCAATTGGGTTCTGCAGCTTAAAATGGCTTCCCACGGGCCTGAGCCCTCCTTAGCCCCATTCTACAGGCCAGAAGGTTAAGCAAGAACTGGAGGCCATGGAAACTCCTGGGCATGTCACTCTGTGCTTGTGCAGGGGGCGCCCTTCACCAGGGGGAGCCCCTGAACTGCGCATGGCAGAGGCAGGGAGCCCCCCCCACCAGAGTTCCTCCGGCTGAGACTGTGTGCACAGAAGCAAATCAAAGTGCCGGGATTCTCCTCTCTTGTTCGGCTGCCAGCTCTTCCCACTGGCACAGCAGGGACCCCAGCAAGGCTTCCAAGGGGCTACCCTTGGACCACATCCCACCCCTGACCAAGTCTGGCTCCTGGCCGCCCCCTCTGTGGAGTCTCACCTTGGCCTGCCATGGTCTTCCGGAGCAAGCTCTCCATGGCTTTGCAACACTCCCGGGTTTCCTGGTCCAGATCCTTTCCATAGAGCTGCATCCAGGCTTGGAGGGTGCCCAAGGGGCTCAGGCCCTAAGGTAGCAGAATCGCACAGAAGTTACTCTCCCATGTCGTGCAAAGGCCCGCCCGAACCGGCCTTCCCTCCCCATCGAGCTGTAGATCTAAAATGGCTTCTGGAGGGACTGGCCTGCCCAAAGAATGAGACCTCCAAGGGGGCTGCGCATCCGCTTGCTGGGAGCAGAAGAAGGTCCCCACCCCTCACCTTCCAGGGGCTTTTGGCTCCAGGAGGCTTCAAGAACAGCAAAGGGCAGGGGCCGTGGTGAGAAGAGCCTCCTGCAGGCCCTGGCGGGGAGGAGTCGCCATCCTCTAAAACTCCCAGACTGCCCAGCCGCCCAGATGACGTCACACCGGCTGCTCCCCCCGCCCAGGCTCGCCTGCCGCTGCACACCACCCGCTTGGGGCCAAGAGCGCCTCCCAGCGCCTCCTCACCATGGCGTTGCGCAGCAGCACCGAGGCGCCTCTCTGGATCAGGAGCTCAGCCACGTCAAAGTGGCCGCAATTGAGGGCATCGTGCAGCGGGGTGATGCCGTCACAGCCAGGCCCCCCGGGGTCATCGATGGCGGCGCCGTGGTCCAAGAGCAAGCGCACAAGCTCTGGAGGAAGGAAGCCAAGGGTCACGTTCAATATTGTCCTCCAAGCCACACCAAGAGAAGGCCCTGCCCTGAGCCTCCAGGCTTCAGGCCAGCACTTGCACCCCAACTTTCAGCCCAGCGCTTACCTAGATGCCCGTGGTTGCAAGCCTCATGGAGAGGGGTCCATCCACAATAATCCCGAGGGTTGAGAGGGTGCTCCTGACACAGAGAGAGGAAAGAAGGGGTGAAAGAGCCCAAGGGTTTTCCCGTCTGTCTCCCCAGTCCTGGCCCCAACTCTGCTGGGACAGAGAAGCTGAAGAGACCCTGCTGGCTTATCTTGACTGACCTGTCCTTTGTGAATTTATCCAATCCCTGTTTAAAACCCTCTAAGGTAATGGCCATTGCATCATGTAGCAATGAGTACCACTGATCAGTTGCATATTCTGGGGAAAATTGCTTCTTTTTGTCTCTCCTAAATCTCCTTCCAATCAGGTTCATGGAACGACCCCTAGTCCTAGGGCCTGTCCACTTCCTCCCCGCTGTGCATGACTTGTACACCTCAACCATGCTCTTTCCCACCCCAGCCCGGTCATCGTTTTTTCAAGCAAGAGTTCCCAATATTCAAGGCTTTGGGAAGACATTCAAACCCTCTGATCATTTTAATAGTCCTCTTCTGCACTTTATCCAGCTCTATTAGATCCTTTTTCAAATGCAGCAACCAGAACAGTGAGACACATTCTTGATGGGGGCGCACCAGAGAGTTGCGTAAGGGCGCTAAATGTTTCATCTAGTTCCTAGTGATTCCTGGCAGGACATGTGCCTTTTCCACAGCTGCCACCCAGAGTCAAAATCCTTCATTGAGCTCCCCGCTATGACCCCAAGGGCATAGGCTTCATAGAGGAGGAGGAGAGAGAAGATTCTCTGGCCAGAGACAGAAGACCTGGGCTTGAACCAGAACCCCACCAGCCAGGCTGCACCGGAATGGGAACGGCCCCCCTCCCCACCTGCCTCCAGGCACAGGGCTTCCCTCCCTCCTTCCCCGACGATCTTGCCAGCAGGCCCAAGACTTGCCTTCTCCACAAAATACTGTGCTTGCCGCAGATTCCCTTCAATGCAGGCACGGTGCAGCAAAGTCTCACCCTTGTCATTCCGCTGGTTCCACTGAGAAAAGGAAGAGCACCCAAAGGTTTGTTCCTCCCATCCACAGGAAAAAACCAAGCCACCTCCCATCCCACCCCAAGGGCAAGGGATGAAAGGAGGGCTCCGCTCCACATAGAGCTCCTGAGCTGACCTTGTTGATCCTGCGCCGTCCAGGGACTGTTTTGCCATAGCCTTCCATGTCATCCTCTTCATCTGGAAGAGAACCAGGGGGTCAGAGGAAGCACGGGGAGTTCAAAGTCACAGCCCAGGCAGCAGAGCCTCCTGGACCTGTTGGGTGGGCCACCAGAGGGCTCGATGTGCTCACGGGGCGAGACCCTCTCCAATCTGCCCTCCTCTCCATCCTAAAAGCAACCCCTGCAAACTCAGTTCCAAAAATGTTGGTGTCTCTGTGTTGTATAAAGTCCTTCCTTCTAACTTTATCCTGCTCCCCGGGGGCTTAGTAGCTGCAAACCGTCTTGCAGCTGCATTCCAGACAAAGTATTTCAAAGCAATTACACCAAGAGGGTTGCAGCAGTCCAGCGGGGAGGTAAACAAGGCCTGTTTGATTGCTCCCCACTCTGGCACTTCCAGGAACAGGTGCAGCTGGTGCAATGCTGTTGGCGTGGAAACTCATTCCTGACTTCCTCAAACCTGGGCACCCAAGTCAAGGACTGACCTCAAGAACACACCCAGATGCAGGGCTGCCATTTTAGCGGTGGAAGCTCCTCCCCGGCACCGGCTGGTCCCTGATCTGCCTTTTGACTGACCAGGAAGAGCCTGGGCTAACCTGGATTAAGGTGGCAACCTCACTGCCACCATCATTCCTGCCCCCCATCTTCTGCAGGAACTCACAAATGTTGAGTGACACTTTCACAAGTCTGGAAGATGGCTGTCCACCCTTTGACCAACTTCTCTCCTCTCCTCCGCAAGGAATGGCGAGACCTAAAAACTGGACTCCGCGCTTGTCCAGGGCCAGCAGGGTCAGAACCCACTGCCACCTCCATCTTCTCCCACATCACCCAAGATACTCACCACTGTCGGAGAGCTCCAAGTCGCTTGCTTCCAAGGGTTCGCCGTTCTGCAGCTCCTCTTCCTCACTGCTCTCCCCATCTGAGTGCCAGCCCTGCGAGGCACAGAGCGCCTGCAGCCTGGCTAATGTGTCTGCTGCCGCTGCCAGGCAACCACACCTCTGCTGAGAGGCATGGAAGTGCCGCAGGATCTGATGCTGGCAAACGGTTATCAGTGTGATCATCAGCTCATTTTGCAGATCAGGACACAACTGTCAACCCCCACCCAGCTGGGCAAGGTCAAGGAAAGAAGACCTATACAGGAAATCAGAAGAAATCCCCCTTTCCAAAGAACAAATTTTATTCAGGGTCAGAAGCTTTTGTGAGCTACATCGTATACGTCCATCCTACATCCACCGTAGATTAACACGGCTCTCCTACAAGGTCTCCAGTCTCCAGGAAAGGGGCTTTAATGCTCCCCGGAGGTGTCTTGGAAACTACAAGAGGAATTTCCCAGCCTCCTCTGCAGTGAGTTCATTAAGGTGGAGTCTCTCCAAATGAACGGAAATGCTTCTTCCAGGTTTCTGGCCAGCCGGGCCAAGTTGCCATTTATAAGATAAGCTACCAATGGATGCTCCTTGATGTTTTACGTCTACCGCCCCATCCCTTCCCCAGCCTCCTCACAATGACGTTATCAACTTTCATGCCTCTGCTTATTTATCTCGCTTGAAACGCGCCCCACCTTCCCACATTTACTTCGTGATCTTTTCCCCCTCAGCCCACCCCTGCCCCCAACCCTTTCAGAGGCCAGCAGAGCAACAGAGGCACCCATCCCTTGGAGAAGTCTTTCAGGCCGTAGCTAGATGCTTCTTAAGGAAGCAGTGGTCCTTTCTGGTTTTTCACTGCCTTCCTTTTGCGATAGGCCCATCCCCTGCTCACCTCCAGCTTGGGGTCGCTGGCCCTCCGTGCATGCTGCAGAGCAGCTTGGAAACAGGGCTCCAACTCCTGGTAACTCTCTCCAGCCTCATCTTTGGTCAAGGCAATGTTCAGCCATGTCTTCCCCTCCTGGTGTGGACATAACAGACCAGGCGTAAGCAGTCTTTTGGCTCAGATTCTCCCTCCCTGATGCCAGTTCAGCTGTGTGAATTTGCTGGGGGAGAGAATGTCCCGCACACATGCCCCTGGTGCCCTCCACCACCTGCCCCCTTTTACCTCCAGGGGATTCCCGCGCCGCAGGGCCAGCTCTGCCTGGTAATGCTGCACCGCCCGGGCATGCTCCTTGAGGTCCCCAAAGGTTGCCGCCAAAGAGACGTGAATCACAGCCAGCTCCTGCTCTGGACGCTCCAAGGCCTGGGCATGGCCGAGCTGAAAGAGCACCCAGCGCAGGTTTGGCAAAGGGGCCCGGCCGTCTCCCACAAGGAGACCTGCATCCTGCATCAGCCGGGCTCCCATCACTCTGCCTCACCAAGAGGCTAACATTTCATTATGGCAGAGACATGCGTTAATCCAAGTGCCACCTCCTCTGATATATGCATCTCGCTTCAGTCCAGCCTTTGCAGTAAAGGGACTCAAGATCTAGAGCAGCCGACCAACACTCCAGCACGGCTGCTGTCTTCAGCTGCCAGACTCTGACCGCCTGGACCCATCCCAGAGTTACCCTCTGGGGGAGATGGGTGGCATATAAATTTAAGAATGAATGAATGAATGAATGAATGAATGAATGAATGAATGAATGAA